CAATTGTCTTCAATCTATCAACAGTCTGTGAGAGATGGAAATACTTGGTTCTCGAAAGATTACACAATGTTAAATACTTAACAGGTGAGTTAAAACTTTAATATGAACGAATTTGTTATTAACCAATAAAGGTGATAGTAATTAACTCCTTATTTCGATAAAGATTCACTGGAAAAGGATGCTTATCCTGCTAGTTATACTATGTTCTTTAAGGATGATGAATTAGAGCGATTGGAACAATTAAAATGGTTTCCTAGACTCAAGGTTGGTTAATATCATGATAAATATGATGGTGTATTAATAATAGAGTGAGCAACATAAAATTAAAAAGCCAAAACCCAATCTTCAATTTTGTCAAATTGAAAAGATCAACGTTAAGATGAAAAACTATCAAATTGAACCATTTCTTACAATTTGACTAGAAGCTGGAGTTTAATTATCAATTCGCTATTCGATTATAAATTCGTCAAATTTACGATTCGAGGAAATGAGGATAAGGATAAAGAATATTTCTTCTTGAACAGCTCGACAAAGGTATATCCCTATCCACAAATAGCAAATGAAATGAATACAAATCATCCTTTCATCATTTTCAGTACTAGTACGAATGAGATATAATAAGAAGTGCAAACAATTTGAGGAAGCATTAATTAACAAGTTGAAAAGTAATATTGATCATCATGTATATAATCAAAGCCAAATTACAATATTATGCAAATTACATTAAATGCAAATAATTAAGTTTATCTTTCTCTAGATATTAGATGTTGAAGGAACACTTGATAATGATTTCATCTCAAACATAGAAGTCAAAGGACTTCAATTTAAATGTGACTATTTTATTGATTTGGAAGATGTTATTTGTCATAATTCATCGCTTGAAATGTTAGCGATAAAAGAACTCTCTAATTTTTTCGCCAATGAGATCCAAGGACCAAAAATGAAACAATTATTCGTAAACAGTATTGTTTCTGAATTTGCCAGTTGTGCTAGATATTTTCCGAATTTGCAACGACTTCACATTGAAAGATACGATCGTAAAGTATTCATTTTCTTGGTTTATTTGACTATCATCTTATAATATATTCATATCTTCTTGTTTATGAAACAGGTTCCCCTTTTGATGACGAATTTTATGTTGGACCTGTTCTTGAAAAACTTGAGATTTTAGAAATATGTTTTTATCTTGATCTATACGGGGAACTAGAGCATTATCATGGATTCAGCCTCGCAGATCACTGTCCACGTTTGAAAAGTGCCTTTCATTATATTCAAACTGATCAAGATTTTCATGTCAACAGTGGATCAAAATCATTTCTTAGAGATTTGGTTCTTCAATTGTAGTATTTTTGAAATTTAAACTCAGATTCTA